GGATTGACCTGTTCAAAAAATTTAACCTCATCACTCGTTTGGAAAATGTGGGTCAGATCCAGCATCTGAAGCAAGTTTAGATTGTCCATCCTTAAATGCATCATCCATGCAAGTTTGGTCCGGGTAGGGCTTATAGTTACTTGGGAATGGACCTGCTCCTAAAACTTTAACCTGATCAATCATCTGGAAAATGTAGGTCACATCCAGCATCGGAAGTAAGTCTGATAGTGTCCATCCCTTAATGCATGATCCATGCAAGTTTGGTCCAGGTAGGACTTATAGTTACTTGGGAATAGACCTGCTCCTAAAACTTTAACTGGGACGCCGACACCGACGCCGGGGGTATAGCATAAGCTAATCTTGACTTTGTCGAGGTGAGCTAAAAAACCATAAAAAGATTACCTTCACCTTGACAAATCTAAACATAGGTAATCAGAGATTACAGAGCTCGCCTCAACGAATGTTGTCTTTAAGTAAGGCAAAGTCACACAATTAACCAACAAAAAGTGTACATCCAAAATGCAAAATTTATGCAATTTTGATTCGATACTTTGGAACAGGCCTTTATAAAAACTTCAAACTACTTCTTCATCATGAAAACATAATTAAAATCCAGCATCTGAAGCAATTTTTAGAGTTTTCATCCCTTGATGCTGAATCTGCTGATTCAGCATCCGAAGCAAGTCTGGTAGTATGCATCCTAAGATGTACCATCCATGCAAGTTTAGTCATTATAGGGCTCATAGTACCTTGGAAATGAAACTGCACCAAAAACTTTAACCTGCTCACTCAACCAGGAAATGCAGGTCAGATGCAGCATCCGAATCAAGTCTGGTAGTATGCATCCTAAGATGTACCATCCATGCAAGTTTGGTCATTATATGGCTCATAGTACCTTGGAAATGAAACCTGCACCAAAAACTTTAACTTGTTCACTCAACCAGAAAATGTAGGTCAGATTCAGCATCCGAAGCAAGTCTGGTAGTATGCATCCTTAGATGTATCATCCATGCAAGTTCGGTCATTATAGTGCTCATAGTTACTTGGAAATGAGACCTGCACCGAAAACTTTAACTTGTTCACTCAACCAGAAAATGTAGGTCAGATTCAGCATCCGAAGCAAGTCTGGTAGTATGCATCCTTAGATTTATAATCCATGCAAGTTTGGTCACTATAGTGCCCATAGTTACTTGGAAATGAGACCTGCACCGAAAACTTTAACTGTTCACTCATGCGGAAAATGTAGGTCAGATTCAGCATCCGAAGGAAGCCTGGTAGTGTGCATCCTAAGATGTACCATCCACGCAAGTTTGGTCAACATAGGGCTTATGAGACCTACACCAAAAATGTTAACCTGACCCAAAAACATAAACCTGTCATTCCTTTGCTGAAATTGCAGCATCTGAAACTTTGACTGGTACAATGAAACACAATAGAAACATCTTCCATGTATGTCTAATCAATATAGGACATAGAAGTACTTCAAAGGAAAACTGCTCTAAAAAACTTAACCTTAACCCGGGACGCCGACACCGAGGGTATTACATAAGCTCCCCCAACTTCGTTGAGGTGAGCTAAAAAGGGACAATAAATATGGCACTGTCTCCTCATCACCACAGAAACTGGTATATAAATAGGTCGTTATTTTTGTCAGAAGCACCTCATCCTGATTGGCTAGCAGTCAGGTGTTTACGGGGGAGAGTTAGGGAAAAATGTCTAAGTAAAAATATTTATTTTACCCTTAATGTACCAATGGGGTCATAATTCTGCAAAATCACAATTTCTGATTAATCCACATTTTCTTGGATTGTCATACTATGTCTTCAATCCACTTGAATTGACATTGTGAAAAGTTTCTTGAAAAAACTGCAATTAATTTAGTGTAATGTCATTGATCTGATGCTGAAAAAAATATTTCCAATCAAAAACTAAAATCTGTCAGTTTTAAAGAAATTTTCACCAAAATTTTGACCTATTCACCTACAAAATCAATGCATTGAAATGTTTAGTTAGATTCATATGCCAGCGTATGAAGCACTGAAGACCTTTTACATTGATGCCATTATAGTGGCAAGCAAATAAAAGACTGCATTTTAACAGAGTAATGCCCCTTTTCTTCCCAAAGAGTTTAGAACAGTCCCAGAACTGACTTAAATTTAGTCTGATTCACCATTAAGGCTTATCATTTTATTAAGGCAAGTGATAATAATTTATGTGGATTTGGACTGGAGCTAGAGTTGAATCAGGTAAAATCAGTGTCCCCCCTCCAGCTAGCCATCAACGATCACAAAAGCGGTGCTTATATCATTACCAATAGATTAACGTTCATTGTCCGGGCCTATAAACGGTGTATAAAATCTCCATTTCCTACAATCTGCTGCTTTTCCTTCTAGATATGGTAATTAAGCCATACTTAACCAAGCATGAAAAACATCCCTGGTCTTTTATGGACCAACTCCAGTTCTCGGAGCTATCATTTAACCGTTAATTCATTAACGATTAGCATGTTCCATGCTCACTTAACATCGCAGACTGTCCTTTTATGGGACGTTTAGAGGAAGTATTGGAACACTGTAATCATATGCCTGGGGTTCCCTGACAAAGTGTCTCCGAATCGACATTCTTGTGTAATGGCATTCTAACCATTAAATCCAATATACCACCGAGTCAGATACGACAGGAAAAACACACTCCACTCAAAGATAATCATTTACAAAAAATCTTAAAATCCCTAAAATTCATTTTTATTATGAAGGCATTTTGAGATAAATTTTGCTTTATGACATGAATGATATTTTAGGGTGCAGACTTTTTGGAGAAGAGGAATTAACATGAATCAAATTAAGCCTTGCCATGACAGGCAGTGTTTGCATCATTTATAAAGTAACATTTTCTTGTGCAGGGAAAAATCAAGGCAGTTTTTAAGAAGAAGTCAACATGAAATCCTTCAAAAACTATTCCATACAGAGTCCATAAACATCCGATTAACCATTCATTCATGTTACCCTACATCAAAGAGATTGTCAGCCTTTCCTACTTCATTGTTTCACACCTTGTGTACAAATTTCAGGATCTGTTACTTTCTGAAAATGGCAACACTTTTTCAACAAAGGTATCCCAGTGATTATTGAAGTATTAATAAACAGAGATACATGAATTTACAGATTCTACAAGATTTAACAAAATGTTTTACCACTTCTTATGATTGTTCTGGTAGACCTTGACCTTAGAGAGGGATTGGGGGGGTCAATAACTTCTAATTTTTAAATTAGCTGTCCAATTTTTTCAACATGTAAGAAACTGATTACAGTAAAACTCATTTTAAGTGAACCCACTTATAATGAATTTATGCTTATAACAACATGATTTTTATTCCTCTTGGTTTTGAATGGTACCATGATTTTAACGGATATAAAGAAATTCTGGTATGTTTCTGACGAGCAAAATTGTGTCTCCCTGGCACATGGCAATAGCATGTTTTACTGTATAAAAATGAACTCCCTTAATAAAATACAACTCTGGTGCCAAAGAGCAACTGATGCAACAAGAATTCATCTTAGATTAGAACTACACCTGTGACCTAAAAGGATCAGGGAATTGGTGAATTCAATTTCCTTGGAACTTTATGAATCTTTGACACTTTTGCCACCTTGACTCTTTTTTTTCAGTTCTTAGAGAACTCTTGCAGGTTTTGTCCTGTTTTAGCTAATCACCATAGAACGTGACCTAAGATATCTAGGACTTCTTTCAAATTAATGCACAAGCAGTGAAATCATTTTAACTTTATGACTATTGATGTACAAAGTATAATGGAATATCTATGTATCATCTGTCAATGTGTTTGGTTCTGTTTTAATGGACTTTTTCAATCTTTTTCTTGGTAGATTTTCCCGTGTGTCCTCGCGTGTACCAAGAGACAACAGGAGACATCATCAATCAAAAACAAACAGCCTTCAAACAACAGTTTTTTTTCCAACTGATGTTCTTTGTTTGTAGATATGACCAGAGTATATTTACTTTTAGATTTATAGATAAATGTCAACAAATAAACAAATACACATTAACCTTGCAGCAATTGCTCACTCTGAAATTGTTCTTATTCTACTTTGAATTCACTGAGAGATAAAAATTATCAAAAAACATTGCTGACCTAAAGTCAAGTTCAAGGGTTTTGTAAAACATTTCAGAAAATTAAAATATTTATTGAAACTTTTTGAGAGACAAGTTGTGATCTCCTGCTCTGGCCAATCAATCAACATCCACAAGTCATAAAAAAGATTATAGACTTTGTACACACACCAAAAAAGAACCAGGCCTGCTTATATAAATGTTCTGTTTGGAATCAATTTTTCAGGATAAACTGAAGACATTTTTGAAAACAAAAGTCAGCAGCAGGTGTTCTGATGTTCTGAGGTCTGTGGTGTTTTACAAAACCAAGAAACTGTACAGACAGAAGTCGTAGGTAGTGTAAATATCGCTACAGGGATAGTCTATCTCTTTATCTATACACCAATGTAAACCAACTCCTCCACTATTAAAATCTATAAGCCTTTCTCCAAAATTATCAAATTCTCTCATCAATTTTATCTCTGAATTTACAAGAAAGTTAGAGATCAATTCCGTCTTTACTGTACATCAAACCTTGAAAACTAAATTCCAGTTGATGAATGTAATATGATAATCTTGTAACCACAACATGGTTTTAATTACTTGTTGGACAGAACATGCATTTTTTTAATTTGATAATGAGCAATTCATCATCCAACTCTAAAATTTATTCTAAAAGATTTAACTTTTTATGACAAAACAAATAATTGTTATTATACATAACAGATCAATGGAGAAGATCTAAAATTCGTATAAATATTCTACATGACAAGAATATCATACGTAGAAATAAAAAAAAACAGCATGACCTATTAAGTTTGTGGTGTATTAATTGAATTAATTTTGTGACCGGAATATCAGTTGATGACTACATCGTTTGTTTATATTCTTACCTATGATGTACTGGGTGCCGGCGATGGTGGTGGTGAAGGCCCGCCTCTTGTATCGCGGGGAGCAGGGGTGGGACTGGGACCCCCGGAGATCAGGTACCTCATCCCCCGCCTTCAACGTCTCTGACTCCGTTACCGTGACAACAGGGATACTGTTCAGTGACACACTCATTCCTGTTTTTAAGTTTCGGTTTTCTTTGTTTTGCATATTTTATAGGTATATTCCATTTAACAAAAATACCTTTGCCATCATCACTGGTTTTTGATGAAAGTGCTAGGGTCGATACGGTTCACCAAAGATCTCCCACACAAGATTCAGAAAGAGACCCTGTTATCCTATTATTTTTGTAAAAGCTTTGACGGTTGATAATTCTGAGCACTGCCAGCTACCAGATCATAAATTCTGATTGGCACCAAGTGTTTAAAGTTCCATCAGGCTGCGTCTTGTCTCTGGTAGAGGGGGCAGATCAGAATCAGAGGGAAGGCTTTAGCAGCCACCGGAGACGTGAGAGAACATGACAGGGGGGATACACTAGGCACCACCAGACAACCCCCACTGTCTACAGCCGTTAGTGTATAACAGGTAACAACGGCTCAGGTGCAGTCACTCGACTGTGTCTTCTCCTGCAGGTTGTACTGGCACTGAATTCTCATTAATCCACAATAGTAAATAACACAGCCGAGCTTTGTTTGTTCACTCTATCACATATAGGTCCCTTACGTATTCAATTAATACAAGTGCAGCAAAATGGAATATTTTTCCATTTGTTATAGTCAGGAAGTGAGACCATTTTGTAGGTATGATCCCATTAAATATTGATGATTGTAAACTCTGTCTGTCGACCAGAGGTCTTATGTCATTAATGGCTCAACAGATTATTACATCTGACAACATAGGTAGAGATCAGGATCCGAGAGTCTAGGTATCCTCAGGTATATCAACACTTATCTCTCAGCATCCAGAGTGTACACACTAAAATGTCTACCTTCCTTAATAAGACACGACTCTACACCAACAGTTTGCATTCTTTTTGTCAGTGGATACACATTGATCTGTTGAATACTAATAACGGTTTTGCACGACAAACTAAACCTTTTCCAATATCAAATTGTCATAAATATATCCTTTTTCAAATTTACCCACCATTCTCATTAAACGGAACAAGGTCTCTGTACGGAGTTTATCAGAATATTGTGGCTTTTGACGATGGAGAGTTGGCGATTCCTTGACAACCATGAAGAGTCCAGTCCACCAAAAAACTTAACTCAATCTCTACGAGTCCGCACATAAATTTGTATGTCTTTATTACCAATTAATTAAATTTGAGTTCAGAACAGGATGTCATTAATGCAGTGACAAAAAATTCACCTCAAAAGATAAACTCCGAAGACAAACGTCATCAAAGACGCTTCCCGAAGGACTCCAAACCCATTTGTCAGTCAACGATCTCGGAAGCTCACACGAGATACTACTGTAAGTTATATGGATATAACTCAGGGAATTCAGCCAAGAAATATAATTAGGTCTATAATGTCTTATATGTATCTTTGACATTTCTTAGATAAAATATACTCACTATATCTAATTAAGCTTAAAGGTCTAAGCCCTAGTTTTACGTACAATTAAGAAATTAAATTATTTATTTTTCCCTCATCCATTTAATCTAATTAGTGCAACTAATTGTAGAACAATAAAATATTGATTATTAACAACTCCATTCTCCAAAAAAGGTAAATGTTGAGGACTTGTCTGATTACAATGAGAAGAAGTTTCTATTGTGTACCTACCTGGGTCAGATATCAACTCCGGGATCGGAATATTTACAGTTGATCCGGAGGTTAGGAAATCTCTAATAGCCTGTACGCTTCTGAACTGTTTATCTTCTCTCTCTAATGTAACTTTACTTCAATGCTATCTGTATTCAGCACTTTTGAGAACATTGTGTATAGAACTTAGATAATGTTTTTATACCTGTAAAGTTTGCTATTGCAAAACAATAATCAATTTGAATTCCAAACTTTTTAATTTACATCTATAATGTACCATACCTTGTCCTAAACCTGACATTGCCTTTTTGTCTCTCATTGTTTTTTGGAGAAAGAACTATCTGAATAATGCTTTTGCAATATAATAATCTCTGAGTTTGTTTATAAAAAAAGATCTTTGTGAATTATATCTAATAAAAAGTTTCCTGATTTTTATTTTTTTTTAATTTTAGACTTATAGAGACAAAATATGAAATAGAATAATCAAATCAACACATTTACATGAATTAGTCAAAACGTTATTTTCTTTTAGAAGTCGGTGTCTATAATAATGATAAATTTTAACAACTAACGACTATACAACTAATGAATGTAGATTCCTTTATAAAGTGACAACTGAAAGATACCTTGACAACCTTTAAGGTACAGGTCTCAAAAAACATCCAAACAGCCAATAGAAGATAATTTATAGTGATGACTTAATGATTAGTTCTCTTTCTCATTTGATGGATGGAGGAGGATAGGGGCATACAATTGACCACAGTTCAGGGCCTCGGTCCAATTATACACAGCAATGTGAACAATTCAAATCAGAAGAAAAGTACAGGCAGGAAGGGAAGAAATGATGTGTATCTTAATCAGGGGAGATTACAAAGGTACAAAGTAAAGAATTGCGTTCAGCATTAAAAATGATAATTTGCAGCCCAAGTCATTTATCAGAGATAAAACTAAATAATGATGAATGAAACAGTAAAAGAATCCAGATTTTTAAATAGATACAAGGACAATGACTTATTGTGAACCTTGACCTTGAATGAAACTGATGGTTGATATTGAACAAGATATCGAAATAATTCAGAGTTTGATTAAAATCTGCTCGTCTTTGGCCTTAAGTCAATGATCTAGGAAACATAAAATATGCTGGATATAAACGTTTATTTTATCCTGGTGGTCCGATTATGTAAGACCTGATCGAAGGTCAAGTTCTCCAGAGTAAATAACGATTAGCTCTACCAGTGTATACTAAAATCAGCTAAAACTAATTTACTAATATAAGCTATAACCGCAGGTTTTAAGAGCAGGTTTTATAAAGATACTGTGAATCAAACTTTGCAATAGCGGAAGCTCATATCAGACCGACATCATATTATGAAGTTACCATACAAGCATTATCTTATTCCTAAACTGCATGACAAAAAACAACTGAATTTTTTTCTCACAAAAATATTTACATTGCATCATCCTAGATAATGTTGGTTAGTATAGAAATAAAGTGCTTAAAAATTAATACTTATATGAGTTGGTTTACATGCATGGCAGAAGTTAAATTTGGTCAAAGAGTATATAAATGTATAATACACATCACCAAGAATTAAATAGCCAGAAAAAAAAACAAGACAGTAATATATATAAATCAATCGTTTCAGTATTTACTAGAGACGTATTCATGATCATACATGCAGATATATTTACCAGATTATGAACTTTCCTGTCATTAATGTTTAAGTGTAAAAACACAATGCTTAAAGTCAAATTTTTCTCTGAAATAAATTTTTACAGAGTGAAGTAGCTTGTAATCTGAAGTGGTTCAATCCCTCGACAGAACCTGTGAACAGTTTCAAGTAGATATGTCACACGGGTCATACATCTACACTGCTGGCACAAGGGAGACAACTTTCTCTCAAGCAATGCACCAATCTAAGTCTGTTTAAACTCATTTATTATATGATTTTTTTTTTGTATTAAGGTAAATGGCTAGAACTCTGGAAAAATCTAGGTCATAATGTATATTTTTTAAGGGAATTACATACGTACTTCATAGATGGCCACAAATTCAAAAAAAAGATTTTTACCAAACATATTATTTAATACGTATTGTGATCAGCGAATCATGACGATATAATTTGTTATTGAACACTTCAAACAAAACCAAAGAATTACAAACATAATTTGTATCAATGATGAAAATATAATTAAAATTAAGTACATGGCACAATGACATTTGTAAACGTAATCGTTTTAAATAAAAAAATTCCCTGTGATATCATTTTCTAATACATCCTTTACAAAACTAGAATAGTTTCCTAATCAAGCCATTTATTTTTGGCCTAAAATTATGATGTAACTATAATGGTGCATTATTACATATTGTGAAACTATGAAGTTGAATTTTTTTTGTGACTATTTCAGTTATCTTTCTTTGATCACTTTTGCTAGGAAGCATCTGTATTATAGAAATTAAAAATATCAATAAATTCTTTTTACTTTGTAATTTGTTCCCAAATACCAAAGTCCAAAAAGCATGCTCCTTAAACAAGAGGCCCAAGGGCAACAATGCTCACCTGCATCAATATGGTTTTGTCATTTTTCATCAGCAAATTTCTTCTGCTTTATTTTGATATGCTAATTTAACTTTGATCAGCTGTTTTAGCTCCATCCTAGCCCTAAGTGTTACATTTGCTGTTTTAGCTCCATCCTAGCCCTAAGTGTTACACTTTGAACTAAACTGAATCAAATTACACTTCCTGAGGATGCTTCTTATAAACATGACTATGGTAACTATGGTAATCACAGCTTTGTTGTTCTTGAGATTTTTTATAGATTTTTTGTTTAAGTGAAGTCAAATTTTAAAGTTTTAATTGTTCCTTCTCTTTTATTCAGCCCAACAATTGTTTTGATGTGCTTCTTCTGAAACTAAATTTTGGGGCGAAATCTAAAGAACCTGTCTGGCTGTTTATCATACTTTGGGAGTTATCTCCCTTGAGTTTGATAACGTGACACTCAGACAAAGAAGCATTATTCCCTTGTAATAAACGACGCGTATTGATCATTTTGTCAGAAAAAATCACACAGACTTTTGTAAAGACATTAAGTGATGCAGTAAACAGCTCAAATGTAACAAATGTAGAAAAACCATGCTATTTTAATGCCCATTTTAGAGGATCCTGCATGACAAATCTGAAAATATGATCACATTTAGACTCCATTCTCCTGGATTCTATATCATTGTAAATCCTCAATTTATTGTTTTTCCTAGGTGTATTACAAATTAAGCATCAGAAAAAATGGATGCAGACTGATCCAAAATTTCTTGACTGATTCTGTAGTATAAAGGACAAGATATGGTAACCGCTGAATCTGGCCCCTTATTTGATATGTTAAAATTAGAACACAGTTAAAACTGTGACAGTTTGTAGTTCAGAACTTAAATCATACCACTGAATAAAATTTTAATGATACTTTCAGTGTTGCTTTTGTTGGGGGGAGGGGAGGGATGTTCCCCATTTTCTTCCAAACCTTAATATCTTTTTTTTTTTGGGCTATTTAGTGAGAAGAGATGGAATTTTCTTGGCTGTTGGGGTGGGCATTGGGGGTTTGCTACTTTAAGTCATCAAAACTTTTCTTTCCCCCCCCCTTTCAAAAATGATACTAGGTGCTGGTCTAGCATACATATGTCTTCTACAACTTTACCTTGGACAGTATACTGTAAACGTATTATATTTGGCTGTGTATTCTTTTAAGCGGCTTTGGCGGAACGCAGCAACCGCTAAATCAAGTACAACGCTAAATGTCTTGCACATACACACATAAAGAAGATGAAGAAATGCGCTAAATCAAATCTACGCTTAGTTATTCAAAAGTCAATTTCCACCAAGTATAGTACAAGCTAAAAATAATACATTTACAGTAATTACACAACAGATTAAAGTCTGAATGAGTCACAAGATTTTTTCCTTGTATCAATTTTTGGTCATTAGTAGAGGCAACAGATGAATGTTTTTGTTGAACGGATGATATTCAAAACACAAAGCCGAAGGACAAATGCTAACAAAGGACTTAAACATTGGACAATATTCTATAATCATTTTGTATGGATGGAGATGTACCATTTGTCTTGCTGTATATTAAATTCCCATTTTTTCTGCAGTAATCTTCGGGACCGTCTCGTTTAAGGCATATCGTTATCTCATCTATATGCAGAGTAGGGCTGTACGTACTGGGCTTCTTTGGTTTTCAGATCCCTGAAGGCTTAAAGCTTGTGTGACAGACAGACATTACAAAACGTCGAGCCCAAACACGAACAATCCACTAAAATTGTTTCTTCATGAATGACTGATGATGGTCATTTGGAATCTATCTCTTAAGTATTCATCGCATTTAATAAAAGGTCAACATCCATTGGTTCCAAAACATTTGATATATATTTCTATTACAAATTATTTCTTACTAAATTCTCTCATGGTGTGTAAAAAAGTCATCAATGTCCCCTGTCAATGAGAGTTCATGAAAATGATAGAACGAATAAATGAAAATAAAAAACAAGAAGGGAAGGAGTATATTTATGTGCTCATATTAAAAACCCCAAGTGATTTGTATTTCACTGATAGAAAACCATAAAATTTCAATACTTCGTATCATTTTGTGAGACATCATTCATAAATCCTCTCATCTGAAAAATTGTTACTCAATCAAACTGAGGCCTTATTTCAACTTCTTAATGGTCTATCTATCTACCTCTCATAAAATCCTTGCAAATCAAACAAGAGGCCCAGGGGCCACAGCGCTCACCTGAGCACATCGGCTAGGAAAAAGCACATATCAGATCAGAACAGA